GTGTATCGTCCTAGGTGTAATACTTGTCCTTTTATTACAGACACTAATCGTATATTTGGTCCCAAGGGAGATGTTGAGGTCAAATATCCGTTCAGTTGTATCACTATGAATGTTGTATATTGCATTTCATGTATTAGATGCGGGAAACTTTATATTGGTTCTACAGTTCGTCGACTGGGTGATCGGTTTGCTGAGCATCTACGGCAAACTAGACAGAAAAATCGTTATTATCCGGTTTCACTTCATTTTAATTCTAGTGGACATAATATTACAGATATGTCTATTTCTGGTGTATGTGTTGTCAATGGCAACGAAAATCAGCTCAGGCGTGTCGAGGAGGAAACTATATTCCGCCTTGGTACTAAAGAACCCCGTGGTATTAACAAACAGTTCAACTCATTTGTTGAGCTCACTACCTAAGGCGCGTTATTTGTTCTATTGTGGAATTTTTTGTGATTCTAACTTATAGTTCATGCGCGTTCTTACGTTCCTATGTTCTACCTGTACGTTATCACACTTGCTTCTATGCTATCGATAAAGAGCCATTGCTCGAAACGTCTAGCTATTTTTAATAGTTATTTAGGACTACGATTACCAAATATTATCTTCAATATAACAATTCTGTTTGTTTTTTCACCTATGCATCTGACAAATCCATTGAAGAAAACTGCACATTATGGTCTAAAAGAAAACTGTCAATAAATTGAAAAAAATGCGGATTATTAAAACCATTGGCATACAATAATTCATACATTTAGAATTACTGATTACAGTGTCACAATCGACTATAAAGAAAATAAATATTATTATTACTTACAATAATTTTGGAATGGAAAAGATAAAATTAAAAGAAATACCTTATTTCGGGTATTAAAAAACTACAAATGAACAATAATTATTTAATTATTCAAAACTCAAAAAATTGTTATATGCCTAATGTGGGATAACATTTTATTTGTTTTAATTATTCAAAACTAGAACCCAACTGCCAATACAATATCTAGTCGTTAAGACATGTATATTTCGGGCATTCGCATAATGTATTTCAAACTACAAACTTGAAAGAGATTGGGAACAGTAACAACTACAACTAAAATAAAAACAATAACTAAAAAATAACTGCTAGACTCTACTAAATGATTGTATTTTATTACGTATTTGAAAATATATAAAAATAGGATATCGACTGCATTAAGTTGTAAGAAAACAGTTTCTAAACCTAGTTTGAGGCCTTTTACATGGATTATAATTAACATCGAAATCTACTGTTCAGCGCTGACACAAATAATCAGTTGTGTTTTGTCTTACCGCCATATTGCCGTTCCTCACGGTGTGGCTGATTTTCCATGCTAACACTAACCTATAAACACAAATAAGAAATATAAAAGATGTGATATGTTTTTGATAATTATTTAGTTGTTATCTGAGTATCGTATATGCAGCTGGTGTGTGATACGCTATATTATTATCCCTCAAGTATGAAATAGTCGATTCTATTGGTCAAAAACGATCACATGATCGCTTGATAGATATTGATATTGGCCACTATATTTGTTTACTCCTGACGTCATTTTGTGTGGCATAGCCATAACATTCTGGACACTTAGATTGTTACCGATGATAACAACGATTCTCCACTGGGCCCTAATTTAATTTTTTTTCAAACTTTGCCTAATTAAGAAAGTCACAGATTGGGGCAACAATTTGATGAGATTTTCTGTAGGAAAGGTAAACTTTTATAAACATAAACTGATATTACGCTAGCAATGCTGTTAAATTACCAACAATTAATTTAGCCAATACAATCACGGAATGAAAGTCTTATAGAGGAAGAAAAAGGAAAGAAAAGTTCGAAGTACATGGCTGACAAATAAAACCAATACATCACTCTTCAATGTCTTATACACCACGTTATACGAAATTACCTTTACGTACATAACAACAAGTAACAAAAAAAAATAACAAAAATAATGATTTAAATATCGAATTCAAATGTTTCAATGTCGAGAAAATATATAGGCACTCACATCATTATAATTACGGTTTGTAAGCAGTAATATATCGGGAACATCATTTTCCAAGACTCGAGTTTCTATCTCCTCTCCAATCACTCTATTGTGATTGACCATTTCTCCTTCAGCTAGTACATTGTTACCAACATGTAACTGAAATCAGAAAGTAAAAAATAATTCGTAGGTCACGTTATGACTGTATGTTAGTTAGCTAGGCATTTTGTAATTAAGTGTAGTTTGATTGATGGATTGATGAGATAGTAACATACATTGATGAAACGGCAGTTATTTTGACGAATAGAATATTAAACAGATTGACACAAAAACAAATGTTGTTCCACTTATTTTATTTCCACTTATTTAAAAGACCAACTCTCTGATTCAAACTTTTAAATATGTTCCTGTAGTTGTATACAAAAAACTAAAATAGGTCTTACCTGATACGCTGTTGCAGATAATGCAACCAATAATAACTTTATTATTAACGCCATATCTGAAATCAAGGTAGGAAATTATAACAAACCAAGACAAATACAAACACTCTAGGCCTGGTGAGTTATTTGAATCTTTCATCCAAATAATATATTCGTGTCCTGAGTAAACGTCAATAAGTTTAAGATAAGAAAGATAAGTTTAAATTGCATTTACTTTAAGATTTAATTCATTTCGAGTAATAAAATGTTCAACATAGTTACAGTGAACATTATGTATAGTTTAAAGTATACCCTATGTGGCGTACCATATATCATGGAAGAAAGTACTTGGGCAGTTATCAGTATTGGAACCCCATGTTTTTTTCCCGACTACCAACAATCTCAAAAGGTATCGCTGTTTAAAATTTAGCCTCGGACCTCGCTAAAAATATGTAACTAGGAAGTACATAATGCCTTATGTTTAATTCCAAACCCAGGATTCGTCATATAAGCAGGGGTACATATGACAAACATCGCAGATTGATCCTAATAGATTAAATACAATACATTGAATTTGATTTTGTTATTATAAAAGCATCTCCAATGCGTTGATAAGAAAATAGTGAATTGCCCACGACTTCAGATTTTTAAAAAAAATGATCATATTTGATGGTTATTTACGCGAAGTGTGAAGAGTTAATCTCACCTGTTGACCAGTAGAGGTACTTCTTGTGTGACCGTCACCAGCTATGTGTGAAATTTTCTCGATATCTGGTAATATATTATTTTTTAAAGAAGTAACAGCTGCCACCATATAAATCAAATATATATTGTGTGTACACCTTTATTGAATGGATTTTTGTCGGGGGATAATTAATCAAAAGCAATGTTTAAAAGATGTCATGCTATGGTAGTATTTTTTAAATTTCATTTACAATCGGATTGTAAACGTAATAAAAATGTCTGGAAAATTCTAAAATAAAAATATTTTACTTTAAGTTAAACAGCATGTTAAACCATAATTATGTATTCAATGTAAGTAATCGACTATTATTTCTACGAAAAACATGAAATGAACATATTGCGGAAATGTGTGTCGGCTCCCATAAATGTATACTACCAGATGTATTCAAAAAGTTAGCAAAGTGAACAAAACAAGCATTGGTTTACCTAACATACTGTGTAATTGAGTCAGCAGATGTTATGACCCGTGTGCTATTTAGGGTTTAGACATCATTATACTAAATAGAACTGTATTTTGGGACTAAACATAGGTTGTTCGTAGCAAGCCAAACATCTGGCCCAAATAAGCGTTTCAAGCATTTATCAATGTTAAGTTAAGTTTCCGAACATTCCTCTACCCAGCTACACAACACTATTTACTTGGTTCAAAGTATTTTTCATCATTTTACTATAATAACGCCACTTCTGTATTCATATTAATGTTATTTGTCTTAGCTCGCCACAATAGTGGTATTTCGCTGTTGAAGGTCTCATCAATGATACATCAAGTTAATGTTATATTATGTAGATATATATGTCATTTAAGGCATTTGACATTTGCTCAGGACACGCATTTAATTATCTTGCCAATATATCATATTTCTCAACAATGCAAGAAATATACACGTACTACATGGATTTGTGTTTGTTAATACAAATAAAACTCAGTTTATATACTAGATGGCAGAATAATTATGAGATGTCGGAACAACTGTTTGATTCGAAAAAAAAAAACAATATTAACCAAGTAACCCGACCCCACCTGACTTCACAAACATTCGTATGGTTATCTAAATGATTACAATTTGTTCCTCAATTTGTTTCATTACAGAAAACATTTCAGTTTCGATATTACAATTGCACTGACCTGGAAAGTGTTGTGAGTACAGTTATCGTGTTGCTATGGCGACAACATACAAATGTATATGAACGTCAGCTGAACGTATGATACACGTTTTTTATTGCAGCATTGTAATACAAATGGTTTTAGCAATGGAATATCACCCAAACTTAGCAATGTAAGTTTGCCATAGTTCAACCACCTAAGACCAGCAATATATACTTATCTGGGGACAAAATTTGCTAATCAACAGGTCACCAGTTAGTTCCTATATCATATTTCAACCACAGGAATAAAGAGTTAATGGTACATAAAAGCTGCACGAGGTAGTTTCTATAGTCTTATCTTTTCACGACAAACACACCGATGCTTTCCTCACCCATTTATCAATATGCTGTTACACAGTATCTCCCCAGTGTTTTTCCATGTTCAATGGAGCTGAAGATACCATGATCAGTCCCCAAAGCTCTTAAAAGTGTGGAGGCCAGTCATCTAACCAGAAGCATGATCAGGCGTGGCCCTGTCACCTATCTTCAATGTTACTATATCTCCCCAGTGTTTTTTTCATGTTCAATGGAGCTGAAGTTACCATGATCAGTCCCCAAAGCTATTGAAGGTGTAGAAGCCGCTCATCTAACCAGAAGCATGATCAGGTGTTACCTTGCCATCTATCTTCAATGTTACATATTGCTCACTCACGGTCACACAACAAATACAGTATACATCTGCAGTATACAGTTTATGATATACAAAATCCCAAAGTCTGTTTCAGGTATCATAATATAATCCTTTTGTCCTTGAGTACTCCTTTTCTCAGGTAACAATGTGCCATTAATTTAACAAATAATTTATATATATATATTCATGACATATACGTGTGTAACGTTGTTTTGTGTTAGATTAGATTGGTTAAATTGATACGATAAGTAAAATACAACTCCATTATAAATTAGACATCGTGTGACTACTCAACTGTTTACAAATAATGCGTATTATTTTGTTTCACTAGTTCACCTCTCAGCCCTTCAATTCAATGTTTTATTATTTTGATACACTATTCTAGCCAACAGATTCTAACTCATGTACTCAATGGTCCATTGCAGAATGCGTTAATATCACAGTATGCCACCTAACTGATGCATGTTTTGTACACATTGCTAACGATTTTTTGTATTAAATAACACCATACATTTCTCGGAGCCAACACAAATGTCCGCCATATGTTGTATTGTAGTAAATGTAGGGTTGCCAAATCTGTAGGAAGTGAACAATAACTTATTTCTTTGCCAATCAGTCTCGTAGTGGACAACTCCAGAAAGCTGCGATCAAACCCAGCATTATCGATAAAACCGGACAGTAGTGTTCTAATTACATGTGGAGATTTTCCTCAAGCAACTTAGTATAGTACAGCCACACAGCCATTGTGAAGGGTTTGCCGTGATGCATGGAGTCGCAATTCGCTCCAGCCTATTGTTTCAATAGTTTATATGAGCAAATAGTTCCCATTTCGGATTTTCGGTCGAACGAGTGTAGTAAGAATTGTATTCCTAACATTAATTATTGGTATGTTTTGTGGTTTACCAACATTCCATACATTTAGTTGAGTTGATGTGTTCTAGTGGCGTGTACACATTATACAACACAAGTCCGAATAGAATTAAATATCGAAAAGACGATGAAAACTGCATTTCTACAATTATATTTGGTGTACATACATAACACACTGAATTGCAGATATGACTCCACTTCTGTGATAGCTGAACTGGCGGTTCGTTGCGTTTTCTTTTGCCATTCTGTGCCGAATCGAACAGACGTCATGTAATGGAGACACGGATAATTGGTGCTCCAGGGATATATCCCATACTTAGAATATCCGGGGAAGACCGAATACATTATCTTTTCTTGACACCCCCACAAACCACATTATAACGGTTTTAGGCATCCATATTCAAATTTTACCAAGCTTTTCCTGGAGGCTTCGTAACCACTATGATTATAACTATTATAATATAATCGTAAATTATAACTGCAGGTCGATTAAGACCAGTGGAACTGTTGTGTCTGTTGCAGTCTGAGCACTGGTTTGTTGAAGATGATCTTATATATTCACCCACTATACAAGCTGACTTGTATGCGTTCGATGTGTCAACTGCACATACCAGCAGTAGGCTTCTTTCGGAACGTCCATATTGTGGCGACAAAATTTTCAGTACCGCATTTATACTGCGTTAGATGGGGTGATGGCATGTCTCGTGGTTTTACTGCGTCAAAGTGGAACAATGTTACTTATATTCTTCTATATTTACATGGACGAATTAATGGTCTTGCGCGTGGATCATAGCGCCCTCTCTTAAAGATGTGTGTACATTTATTCGTGTGAAATTTATGCCAATGAACAGGATATCGTTTAGAGCACAAAACAATCAACATTTATTTATTCTCTATTCGTAATACGTCACTTTGTATTCTGAAAATACAGTTGTAAAGTCAAAATGTCGAGCTACTTCATCAGTTTAATTCGGTGGGTCATACAATTACAAGTGATCTTAAGGATAACATAAATATTGACAACTAGAGATGTCAGTTTTGTGTGCGAGCGAATTCATTAGGTTAAATGTGTTTTTTTGACATTTTGTTTCAGCATGTACAGTTGTCAGCTTTCGTATGACTTTAGCACTTCTTAATTTTCTAACGCTCTTAGAGCGTGCTAAAAATATTTTTGTTTGTAGTTTGTAGTGCGAGGGTAGGAAATCATTTAACAACTCTAATGAAAAACATCCAATGATTGAAGTTTTAGATGTGTGAACATAAAATAAAAATAAACAATACTCCACTGCCATGACAATTATAATAACGGATGATCTCCATAAGAATGATAATATATTGCACAAATCGGTACAGTGATCCTTCTTAAAACTGAATTGAGTGTCCGTAGACCTAGCGTGCATTTCATACTGCTTAAGCATAAAATTGTCCATAACATCACAAAAGTAATCGCGATTGGACGGTTATTATACTTGCCCGATAAAAGCACCGCTTTCCTTACTGAAGATCGAAAAGGTCATCAACACTAAGTGGCTTATCAAGTGTTAAAATATCAAAAGTGGAAGTTTTAGAAGCGTGTGTAATGTCATACTAATCTTGAAAATGTGATTTGATATATATATATATATATATATATATATATATATATATA